CAGGGGGTTCTAAAGGAACTTTACTTTTAGTTTGTTCTTTTCAAACTTCTAACATCACCTTCTACTGCACAGCAATCCAGACCCTGCGCTGTGAAGATGGGAGGTCTTACCCTGGAAATGTGACATAATGCTTTTCTGCTCACCAGTGGTAGAACCCTAAATCGAATCTTATGGGTTTAGAAAATGTTAAAATAAGACTAAAATAGTTGGGCTTAACCTCAATAATGCCATGGAATGACATAACTTACACAGCAAATTCATTTGATGTCAAATAATGGACAGTAAATAATGGACATAAAATTGTACACAATCAGGACTACAAAAGGAAAGCCAGCTGGTCCTGAACATCTCAGCTCCAAAAATCTTGATGGGACTAAAGCTGAAGTTGTTTCAAAACCTTTGCAAATGGAGAGGCTACATATTCTAAAACCACCCCAAAAAAAATAGGAAAAGTGACAGGCTGAATCTCTCTGTGGAGGAGTGTTAGGGATAACAGGAGATCACAGCTGAAACATGAATTCTCTTAAATTACTAAGGGAGCTTCCAAAGGTGGACTTTTTGGTTTGCTTTCTGAGGCAGATGGCTGCTTTCCCAGTGTTATAGCTGCCATTTTGTTAAGTGAGCAACAAAGTCAGATGTTTTGTATTTTTAAATAACTTGTGTGTCTCTTGCTTAGGTCAATTTTATTCAAAAGCACAATTTGAGAATAATTCCAACATCAATTGGAGAGATGATGAAAGACTCCTGAATGTTTCTGGATCTGAGCACAGAGTTACCAGGTAACAGATAGGGGATGAGGGCGAGTGATGTACATGCTTTGAGAGGTGGTTTATCAGCTAATACCAGAGATTAAAAGAAATTAAACCGAGTGTTTGTCTGTAAGAATATTGGTGTAAACAATAGGAACTTGTGCTTGAATTTTTCCCTAACAGCCTGAATTTGTTGCTGATTAAGTGATGCTTAACCTTGCAGGACTCAAGGCTCCTATTTTATAGGGGGGAAGGAAATCATAGCCTGGGGCTACAGTTTGCATTAAAAAAATGCCAAATAAAGTAAGGTTCTGCCACCTTGTTTGCATGGATACGGGAGGGGTTTTCCTCAGCTGGATTTACCATGAGAAAAAATTTTTATGCTTCAGTTGCTTTTAGTAAGCGCCTGCAATGTAGAAGAAATGCTGTGAGTGTGCAGCTTCTGCTCGCTGTCCCTGCGTGTCCCCATCACCACTGCCTCTGGGTCGGGGAGCGGAGAGGTGCCAGCTCTGCCCACACACAGTCCCTCTGATGCCTGGTACCATCTGCAAATGTAAGGTCAATTCTGGGCCTGCCCTTTGGTTATTTTAGCACAAATTTTTCTTGTTTTGATTTTGTTTCAGGCAATACAAGAAAGATTACAGGCTTGAATCAGCCAGTGATCCTGTTTCCTGCTGGTCGATAGATCTAACTCCCTAGAAAAGAGTATTCTGGGAAAGAAAACTATGCAAATGATACTCTTCCAAATATTTTTGGTACTTTCTCTCGTCAGGAAAACCACACAGTTAAAGCCTTACCTATTACTATACATAAATATCACAAATTTTTTAACTCAAAATAATTATACTTTCAAAATGTGAACATCCTTGCTGTTTGTTTGTTATTTTAAAATGGTTTCTAACACTCAGTGTGGTTATGTTGTTGAAGATTTGTGTCAATGAAGTAAATAAAATTGACATTATCAGCTCACAGTTTGATATGTACACATTGACTTAGGTCTCCAAATAAAAATAAGTAGTGGTATCACCCAATCCAACAAATGTGTCATGCAAACAGTAACAGATTTCTAAAATTTATACCCTCTATCCAGTTACAAATGATGGTGTGCTTGAACTGTGTGTTTTGTAAAAAGAGTATGAAGTTTAAAGCAGTATTAGTTTACAGTTTCTCTCACAGTTTATTTTATGGAGAAAAAAAACCAAACAGTTTTGCTGTGTGTGGGGTCTTCTGGAAATTGTTCTGCAAGAACATTCAAAGCTGACAAAATTTGCAGCAAGAGCATGAGTGGGGACGGCAGCCCACACTGGCTGCAGGCCCATTCATCGTTGCAAAATTCCTGTGGCTCTGTTCTAAAATATCTGCAAAACAGACATTGACTTGTTGAGAAACAGACCTCTGACTTGTTGCAAAAGACAGCATTTCAACCCTGAAGTTTAGCAGCTTTTGTTTTGGCACCATTTCACACAACATTTTGCAAACATTGGAAGATGTTTTACAAATAATGAACAACTCAAAACAACCTGGTGCACTGAGGTAACATTTCACAGGAAACGTACACACAGAAGCCTCTGCCTGTGGAATGCAAGCTGTAGTTTTAGTTTTCAGGTTTTTTCATAAATTTTAATTCCAAAATTATTTTGTGTATCTTTGAACCCATAAACATGCCAGCGTTGTAGGAAGGTTTAACAAAAGTTGCTTTCTATCCTCCCAATAACACATAATTGGAAAAACCTTATTATTTTAAAGCAATGTACTAAAAGAGAAGAAATTTCTTGCCCAAGTCCGTAACATAAAGCAAACCATGTAATTAGAAGCCTGTTTTTTCAAAGAACTGTGTAGACATGATGCCAAAATACACCGTCGTGAATTGCTGGTACTTCCAAGATGTAGATTTGCCTGGACAAATTGCACAACAATGTGGAATTTGGAAACTAGAAACACTAGATTGCTTGCTTCACCACATCATAAACGGGTTTATCAATCTGAAAAGCAGAATATTTCCATTATAAATTAACTTAGTATTTGAATTACATGTGGTTGATGCTGGGTTTTGTCAGTGGACTTCCCAAATTAAAAACTCCCTGTTTTATAGGGTGCCTATGAGTTGCCTCCTCCACCTGCCTGCTAACTGCAGGGACAGCACGTAGCACTGAAATTGGGGAGCAGTGAGGCACAGCTGGAGGGCAGCTGTCACTGGCCCCCTCTGCTTTAAGCGAGGCTCAAGCATGCACAGACCGTTCTGGAGAGATGCTCTTCTAACCCATCTGCTAAACCTGCAATGCCAAGTTCCCCAAATGCCCTAGGCAGCCTGCAGTTAATGCAATTCTGCCTTGCTGCAAAGCAGCAGACCCTGCTACCCTTGATAGATGGGAAGAAAACCAGATGTCAGCCTTCCTCATAGCAACTTTTTACACAGTTGAGGGTTTTTTTTCCCCATTCTTTCTACAACTTCTCTGCAAAGCTGTTCCTACCCTCTGGACCGCACCCAGTTTGCCTACACTGCGCTGAGGTGCTGTGCCCAGAGCTGCACCCGTGGCCACCCCCAGCTGATGGTGCCTCTCGGGTCTTAAAAGCAGTGCTCACCAGCTGTACCCACTGGGATGTCCGGCTTTTCTGCAGCAGCCCTATGTTGCTGATGTGCCTGGCTACTGCGACTCCCAAATCCTTTCCGCAGTGCTCTTCTCCTCTGCACACGTGCTTTCCATTCTGTAAGTAAGTTCCATTTCACTCTTCTGCACTTGAATTGTGTCTTAATTTGTTCTTTAGCACTCTCCTCCTGTCATTTCCAAGCCCCAAAGTGAGCTCTGTACTTGTACTTTCCTAAGCTCCCTTCCCCTGCTCAAGAAGCTGAAGGCAGGCACAGTAATGAGTATTTTGCATTCTGTAATTTCTAATTCCAATGCAGAATACGCAGTACCTCTCTCACTCTTCTCTTTTAACCAGCGTTGTACCAGTTGGCAGTAGGAGTAAAATTTTTATCTACCTTTAAGTGTCTGTCCTCTACTTCTCTCCCCCCCTTATTGTCACCTTTAGCTACATTTGCAGTTATCTCCTATGTTGTAGGAATCTTGGAAGAACTACATATTAAAAGGGGATTTTTCTATCTCCCCCAGTGTAAGTGGGAGTTTCCCAGGCTGCCACGTGGAAAAGCAGTCTGAGCCCCTGAGGTCAGCTTCTGGCTGACAATTCAGTCACAGCCAACAGGACTCCTGCTACCTCTGGACATTTGCCTTATCCCCATAAATTAACAAGGAAAGCTCTGGCTGAGGCTGTGCCCGCTATTGCCTTGTGCCTAAACTTCGTCAGCCAGGTACATCATAGTCTTAAGCTGCACCAGGGGAGGTTCAGGCTGGATATTGGGAAGAATTTCTTTACTGAAGGGGTTGTCAGGCATTGGAACAGCCTGCCCAGGGAGGGGGTACAGTCACCATCCCTGGAGGTGTTTAAGAGACGGGTAGGTGTTGTACTGAGGGACATGGTTTAGTGGTGTTGATACAGCTAGGGCAAAGGTTGGACTTGATGACCTTGAAGGTCTGTTCCAACCAAAACTGTTATGATTCTATCAAGATCTGCTGTCTACTGCTATGGTTTTTTTTGTTTTGATGGAGCAAGTGAGTACAGGACCAGCCCTGTAGTCAGGCAGTCCCACAGCTCCTATCTCAGGATCCAAAATGGATCATTACTTTATTTTATTTTATTCCTTCTAATTCATGATCTAGAATAAAAACTCAGCACCGTGTAAACTTAACCGTACTAGGTTCAGTCTTCTGGTCTTCTCTCACTCCTTCCTGTTTCTCTCCCTGCCTTCATCATTTTTCAGTAACGTATTACCTTCTGCAGCAACTACTGTTTTCTTTCATCATTTTTGTCTAAATTTAGCAGGCAGAGATATCACTCCCATCCCACCCCCCAAGAATTATTTTTTTTCTTCTTCTATAAAACTTCTGCCTTTAGTAAAGGATTTTGTTCCTGAGGAAGGCCTGTCTCTCCCATAAATTTAACAGTAAGTATATTTTTCCTCTGTTTTTTTCCTCTTTGATTTTTCTGTTGCATTTTTGTTCGCCACTACCTTTGTTCTTTCCATCTAACCCATCAAATTGTATGTCATCTCAGTTCTTCCCACTACACCCCTCTTTCCTCATGTATGTCTGCATTCTAGTTTCCTACACACTGACTTTCTGTCCTTGTCAGGTAACAGTAGGGAAATCTTCTTTGCCATGTGAGACCACAATTGCCGTGCTATGGCTGATCTGATTAAAAGAAAACTCAAAGTAAATAAGTTTGGAACTGTGATATTTCATTAATTTATAAAGATTTGGGTATTCAAAAGTTAGGTTCAAATTAAAATACTAAAATACAGAAGTCCTGGATGCCAACAGTCATCTTGTGTGATGGCAGTGCACCAACCCTCAGCACTGTGCACTCAAGTGGTCAGATGCATTTAAGTACTCCTGAATTATCCTGAAATGTGTGCTGGTCTGTCAGCTCTCCTCTGCTGTTGAATTTCAAAACGCATCTGGTACCCTGGGCTTTGTGAAACCAGAATGAAAACATTGATAGCCGTTGGAATAACAGAACAAGGCATTAAGTACTGATGCTTTTATTTAAATCACTCCTGACACTCAGTTATTGATTTAAAATTGGATAGAATGTTTCTAAAACTGGCAAATTAATTCAGTAAAATGAGGACATTTCAGGGAATGAGTGATATCTGTGCACACAAGCAGAAAAGCTGTTTAGCGCTTCAGATTTGATCAAATATGCATTAAAACTCTCTGTTAGAATCAGTCATATCTTGGTGTTGCCAAACATGGTATTTTTAATAGTTCTTAAACATCGAAAATTCAGACAAATATTCTGTATACCCATGAATTTGGAGGAAGTTCTACTTTAAAACAGACTGGAAACAATGTAGTCCGTATGAACACCATCTATCAGCCCAGCTCCGTTGTTATGAACAAACCAGCACGGAATATCAACACCGTGCTTAGGGTCTCTTCTGTAATCCTTTTGCCAGCCCCTGAAAGGGAAAATACAGTCATGGAAGTATCGAAGCAGAAACTGCACTTTGACAAGGTAATCTCTCCTAAGTCTTTGCTAAGGACTTAATTATTTTTTACCTTGTTACTGTCAGTTCATTGTTTTTAACAATCATTGTGGCATCTGGTTTTTTGGGATCAGACCCAGGATGAATTTCAAGTATGGTGAAGTCAAGGGGATGGAAAAACTGTCCTAAAAATAGAAGCTAAAATTACCATTTCAAGCACATTGCACACATTAAACCAGAAACAAACCAAACACAAACCCCAGAACTTCCAACATTCCCATGCTGTTTTCCACGTCCCCTCGGGGTTTTCATCAAATAAGCAAACATCAAGTTTCATGTAAGGTTGAACATATGCCTATGGTATTATTTATTTTTCATAAGCCATAATTCCATGCGTATCATTTGGCTGTAAGTTCCAGCTTCTGAGTGCACAGTAAAATCAGCTTCTTCTAGATATCCTTCAAGATACCCTCACTTTGTGGCTTGTCTATTTAGTCGTATTTATTACATACTCTCCAAGTCTTTAGCTTTTTTTTTTTAGTCAAATGATGCACGTGTTGATCTCTGAAATTTTTGGATGTGATTATGCTCAGAACAAGGCTGACGTCTAAGGAATTTTCATACTGCTGCCAGGACTGGCTTTCACACACTT